ACAGCCACGCAGTGCGTCGTTAAGACGTAACCACCGCCGTTTCGCTAACCCGCAGGTCAACGAAATCCTGTCGAGAACGAGGTTAGGCTTAACCAGTCGTAATCGTTACACCCTCCCAATGCCCCTCCTCCTCTACCTGCTCTCGCGTCTTGCACCCACCCCCTCATTCGCCCGTAGTTTTGCAAGGGCAGAAGCTTGTCGACCAGCTTGTCCACGAGCCTGCACAACAACACCAAATCCCATCCCATTTAGAACTTACAATTAAATAACTTACAATTAATAGTTTCAAAACCATTGTCCGAAAAACAACTAAATAGTCCATTCAATTTTGCAAATGAACCCTCCAATCACTTACGCCTGAGAATCCTCTGCGCTTCTCTCCTTCCCCGCCTCCATCTCGTCCAAAATCGCTTCAACCGCCATCGCCATCTTCACTCGCGCCGGCGTCATCGACCTGTCCGCTCGCACCATCTCCATGACTTGCATCTGGTACGCATCCTTTTCTCCCTTGCTCTCCAGCATCGCCAGGTCATGGTTGTGCTTCCCCTTGTGGCAGTACGCCAGTTCTCCATCGTTCTTGGTCGTCCACTTCAACACTTCGCACTTCTCCCCCAGATCTTCCGCCTCCTTCTTGCAATGAAAACAATACCACTTCTCCTCGTTCCCTTGTCTCCTCTCAAACGACTTCACGTTCTGCTCCCCGAACTGCGCCTTGTATGTGCACTCCTCATTCACGCATTTCTTCCCCCCTGCGCACTTCCAACTCCTTACTTTTGCCCCAAACAGCGTTGCCATACTTGTCGTCTTTCCCGCTATCCAGTAACTCGCATCTCCCCCACCCCTACTCGTGTACGCTTCCTCCGCCATCAACAACACCTTGTCTCCATCTACCGGTCCGTGTAACCCTTCCACCCTTTCCGGCTCCACGCTCTGCAGCAGCTGCCAAAGCCTACTCGTCTGCTTCACCTTCGGGCTCAACAACACCGCATCTACCACGCTCCCCGTCCCTCCGCTCCTTGACACGCTCTTCTCTCCGCTGTTATGCTTCTCCTCACCCTCCCCCTTCGAGGACTCCCCCTCAACACCCTTCCAGGCCTCTTTCATCTCCTTCAAAGCCTCTTTGTCTACCGCTCTCTTCCTCGGCTCCGCTTCTCTTTCAACCCTGCCATCCCCTCCCATCGCTTCCTCTCCTCCTTCTTTGCAACCCCTCCACTCGCCCCCCCCTCCCCGCCAATATCAGCAAACTCCATCGGCGCCTCTCTCTGTTTGCTCTCCGCCTCTTCCCCTCCCTCGTCCTGCCCCTCCGCACTCTTCTTCAACAAAGACCCACCCCAACCTCTTCCCCAACTAATGCCACCTCCCGGTCTCACACCAATGCTCCTACCTCCAAGTGAGGCGCTGCGGGGCGGCATTCCCGTTTGCCTCGGCGTCACCGTCGGCCCAAACGAAGTCGCGGCCGAATGAAACCTGCTCAGGGTAGTACGCCCGTCGCGTCCTCTTCCCCCAAAGCTCATGGCGCTCCTCACGGCGCGTCCTCCACCGCAGCTGACCGAGCTCCTCACACCGAGGCCACCGCTGCTGATGCTTGCTCGAACCCCGCCGCTCATCTGGCCCTGAAACGCCGCTCTCTTCTCCTGCGCCTCCATCAAGTATTCTCCAGCCTGAAGTGACCATGTGTACTCCCCATCCAGGTCCATCGACGGCGACAGTCGAACCGGCTCGTCTGTAGACGTCGGCTTCAGAACCACCGTGCCAACCCAACCCTCAGGTAGAAAGTGCATCACCAGCTCGCCCTTGGAAATGATGCTGTAGCCCTCTGCATTCACAGCCGACACCAACGGTTGCTGGGTCTTCGAAGCCACGTTGGGGAAAGCTACAACAACAGCGTCCGGCGCGTCGACCATCTCCTCGTCTGGCAATGCAGATTTCTCCCCCTCGTCGTTCTTGTGGAGGTCTGCACGCCCTGTAGCGTTGTGGGCAGAAGGGGACCCTCTTCCACGAGCTTCCGCTTCTTCGTCCCCCACGCCGCCTCCCACTACATTGTCCGGCCGGTTGTCAAAAAGCGCACTACGATTTGCCCGGGGCCCGCAAGATACGGGGCTGTTCATCCAGCGGGGCCACGTCAAATGTACGGAATTGAACTGGCCAATGAAACAGGGGTGGTACATATACCACGTGGATTGGTATAGGACCGCCGGTCCCGTCAGGCTGTGAGGCCCCGGTCACTAATTCAGCGTAACATCGCCTGCAGACACAGCCAATTCAGCTGCCCGGTGACTTTTATGGTACTACTAG